GAGCAATGTACCTAAATTAATATCATTATTACTGTTACATAGACGAACGTTATTTATAAATGTTTGGAGCACATTTGGGGCACAACATTATAAAAGCTACAATTATGACTGGAATAGCAAAAGGAGAAACTGTTTTGATACCCCGTATTCCAAGAACTCTGACAGATTTGTCATTTCAATTTAAAACAGTGCAACTTTCCCTGATAGTACCAGTTATAATAAAAATTAACAAAGCTCAAGGACAAACGTTTAAAGATGCAGGAATTTATTTAGAATAGAAATGTTTTTCCCATGCGCAACTCTACGTAGCATGCTCACTCTCACGTGTATAACTTCGGCAAAATCTTTATGTTATTTGTAAAAGATGGTTTACAAAAATGTACTTCAATAAGCTTTATATAAATATTTTTAAAAGTGCTTGTGAAACTCTGCATATAACTTTATAAAGTACTTATACGTATACAGGTGTACCTATATTTTTTTTTAATATATAATCTAAATCTGTATTTTTCGAATTGAATAGATATCAAATATTCAAAGGAATAATTTGATAAAATGTTTTCTTTTTATATATCACTATAGTCTAACGACGTCGTTAACTCAGGTCGTTCGTTATCAAATTTCTCATACAAAAGCCTCGCTTGCACTAAAGTGCAAACTGTTTTAAGGTGTTTATTTTCTTCTTTTTTAAGTCGTTTATGTTATTTATTGTACTCTTTGTTCGTATAGTAGTAACTCCTACTGAAGCTTTTCAATCTTGAAAGTAGTAATTAAACAATACTGCCTTCTAATTCCAACACCAGCACAATGTAGACTGTTAATGTTTATTTAATACATCATTTAGTTCCATATATTCTTTTCTTTTATAAAAAAATCAATACCTGAGTTTATAAGCTTACAAATAACCTATATGGCTTGAACTGAAAATTATAATTGAAAAAGTACTTATTACTATATCACTTATGTAACTTTAAATATTCTCAGAAATATCACCGTACATACACACAACACAAAAACCAGTTAGTTAATCCCAGTTTCTTTTTTGCTCATTTATTCATGTATATTGTATACCTACCTATATCCACATAGACGTTCCAAGGATCTTTCGTTTAACTATCAATCATAACGAACAATAGCTTTATTCACTTTTTGTTTGCAATTCAAATATAATTACGCTCTTTCTAAAGGTTCTATGTAATTTTATGAATAACATTGTTCAGAAAATTACTATCGTATTTTTCCCATTAGAATCTTTACACATAATTATGCTTTATATAACAAGTGTAACGAGACTGCAATGTGATATACTGCATATTTGAAAACTATAATATCTAATTACATAAATATGTTTAATTTTGAACATAATAAGATAATCTCTACATTTTATATACTATTAAAATCATATTTATTGTACTTTCTATTATTATGCAAGTGTACATTTTCGAAAAAGATTTATTTAGATGTAATCTGCCCTTAATAAATATTCTGAAACGACATATAAGTTAATAATAAAATCAAGACACTTAATATATACCTGACTGTAACAAGATTGGATTGAGAGCGTGTGTTATTTTCTACGTAAAACAACATTTATGTTTTCGAAACCTACATTTGAATGCAACTGACAATGGCATTACCGTTTAGGTAACAATCTATCCGGTGTCCAGAGTAATTTGTCATTGCATACTAATTAATTAAGTCCTGCTTTAGACGTTCTTGCGAATAATACCAAACACAAATTTGTTAATGGAACGATGTAATCTATTTTTATATTGAGATGAGAAGAACAATTTAGATATTTGATGGACACATCAACATAAAATGGAAACTTCTTAAGATAAATTATAGTAAAAATAGGTTCATTGAAACTCAAACACGAGGACTATGAACCTGACAAAGTTGTCAGGTCATCTTCTCTGGTTTACTTCGAGGTCAACGGTCTTTGATCATTTTTAGGACTCCGTATCTTAATAGAAAATCCTGTACTTATGCAAATTACGATATTGTATACATATAAATGATGAATGATATAAATGTATTTTTTATGATTATAAAATCGGCACATGTCGTATAAATGAGTGAATCAAGTATATGTTATTGATACCATGGATTTGATTTATTTACCAAATTCACCTAAAAGTGCTAGATTAGTTAACATGAAATAAGACTCGAAAAATACATCATTTTCCTACATAATTTGTCAAACATATCACAATTTCTCAGATATATAACATTTATCAATAAATATGTTTGTATGTTGTTTTCTAACCATTTTAATAAAAATCTGTGTTAATCCTGTTAGAATTAATAATCAAAAGTTAAAAATTATCGTGATAGGCAGTTAGGATTATCAAAGGAAACTGCTAAAGAATTTATAAAAATAAATCGTTTATAAAAATTTGGTATTTTTCGTCTAACATTTTTTGTATACGATTTTAAAAGGGCGAGAAACAGCTTGCCGCCTACACGTTTAATTATGGAGATCTAAAAGTCTCTAATAACTCGAAAATAAAAATATCATTCAATATCTGAATTCCTTAAAATGAATAGGTATGCAGTTATATATTTGGGACGTAATCTTTAAATAGATCGTCACTTAATCATAGATCTGAACCTCGATTTATGAGACCAAGACTTTAAATAACTGGTTGATCAGTTTATTGTACATTTTCTTCATTATTACATCCGTGCGAAATAGCATCTAGTATGTAATAAAACACTTATTTCAATTTTCTTTAGGAAAATAGGCACTCCATATTCATAAGAAATGAGTCAGTAGTGCCGAAATGTTTAGGAAATTCCATCGTAGAAATAAAAAGCTGTGTACAAAAATTGTGGTTTGAAGTAAAAGTCAACAAAGAGCGTTGATTATCTACTTTCTACGGTATTTTAGTGTGAACTGTCAACACGAATTCTCTGCTTTTTATTTCAGTCTATACCTAAATGGACCATTTAAATTTAATATATTTATGTAAATCTAAGGATTACATAATTACCTTCAGATAGAACTTTCAAGCGACTGTGAAAGGAAGAAAGTTCCAAATCCAACTCTATATTTTGTTGAAATATGTTAGATATGACCATAGTTATTTTTTGAGACATCCATCTGTATTAAATATAAGTCCGTGGTACAACACATATCTACTATGACATACTATTTTACTACCATATCGTACCCTTCAAATTAGCTTAACAATATGCGTAACTGTAGAAATACATGATTCAGAAACGTTGGTTACTACAATATACGTTATAAACGAGATATTTACCATGACAATATTATTGATGAGTTCCTCGTCTCGCCGTCGTCTCGACTCGCGACTAAGACGTTTGTAATAGCATCGATACAACCGCAAAAAAAAAATTGTTGATATTATCAGATTAACTATAATGTTGTAAGGGAAGAGATGATTGTTAGTAATGTGGACTAATGATCAAATTGCTTACAATATCATGTCAGACTACATGGACCCCGGGCAAGTAACATAACAAACCATAATCTGTCAACCATCTAAAATTATCAATACCTTCCCAGTATATGTCAATACGAAATAAAATTCTGGAATTATCATGTTACCTTTTCGTCTCTAAAGACACCGAAAAACAAAATATTCTTGAACCATATCTAATATTGGAATGTATAATAGATTATTAAGATCGGCTTCAAAATATTATTTCTTATTTTAAAGTTAAATGTTAATATGTCAAATAAACCGTTTAATTACATAACGAACTAAGTCGTAAGTACTTGTACAAGTTACTCTCAAATTAATTGTTATAATGTCATTACGGTGACATATTATTTCATCCTACCACAAAGTTATTGTAGTTTATAGTCCGCAAATATAATTTTCTACATGTGTAATATAGCTATGTATGATTTACGAATACATATTATATTAAGGAAGTATCCTTTTTATAAATAATACAAAAATAAAACATCCCACGTCCCTAGCTGTGGTTCCATTTTTATATTAACAGGAAATCCGGTCTAACTACTACAAAAACCAATAAAAATATTTTTTGTTTAATAAAGAGCAGATATACCCTAAAAATATAATACACATATGTATATAATAAAAACTCAATTTTCTATGTTTAAGTCACGTTTTATGAGGTAGCCAAAGTAAAACGATTGGTAAACGCTTCAGTCCTTACGCACAACTCTTACTGCATCAACATTCATCATCTCATGCATACACGCCTGTTACCGAGACTATTGACTCTCCCATTAAAACATCACGTAATAATATATCTAATTTTACTGGATCTGTTTAGGTTTCACTCATAACCCGTAAACTGAATATTATTTATTAATAATATTCAGTTTATGGGTAATATTATTTCCCTTTTTCACCTTTACATTGACTCTTTATTCTAGATTCTCTTCTTAAACGTTGTTCTGTATAATATCAGTCTTAATCTGTCGTCATGTTAAAAGATAGCATATTTTATAGATGACAATGGATTCCAGTAGGGTTTTCTTTTTTTATAGATGACAATGGATACCAGTAAAGGACCATTAGACGATCCTGATAATCACATCGGACCATTTTCTAGATCTGACAATATGAAGATCCTATTACTAGCAATGGAACCACATGCTCGAGTTTACTGGTATTAATCTGGTGTGTGTTATTGTTGTGAGTTTAAATAAATATTATTAATAGTCCGAGTGGTTCACTCACTCCCAAGTTATTAGTGAAAGTACTATGTCTTTCTCCTTTCCACATTGGTAACAAAGAAACCAAGCACTCGTATCATGACACGTCGCGGGACTCGAAACTCCTCGATGATAAATGGAGGGCCTACGTGATTCACTACCGCCACTGTATCTAACGCCGGGCAGCCCGTGGGGGGCACTGAATTATTTTTATGCATTGAAAGAAAAGAAGGTCGACTTTGAGTTATTGACTGGAAACAATTGTATAGCAGATGGCGGAATTGCGATGAAAACTATTGTCTGGTTTTACTTGAAAAAGATACAGATAAAAGAACTATTACTCTCCTAAGTTGCTGTTAGATACTGGTATTTCTTTATGATTCAATGAAAGCACCCATCCAAACACGCTGCGCTGGAATGAAAAAAGAAGAAAAATATTATCGTGTACATGTATGTACTGTACATGTATCTGTGTATATAGAATATATAACTTCCTTCAATTGTACTACATTACATTAAATTACTTTTAAACTTTCGTGTTTAATATACATTATTTAAATTATTAACCGGGTCTTAACACGAATAATTTTGTGGCAATTAAAGGTATTTACCTCTCTCGACGTTTCGACTGTTTCGACGGTTGCACTAGGCGTGGTCACGAGCTGACTAACAGCGATGTCAATGTAGATAGGTGACAGCAGTTTTTTCATCTACCGTCACTAGATTGTTTAACGAAAGTTCGCGACACACAGCACTCACGGTATCCGTACACTTATTGATTATTGATGCTACTGAACTTTGCTTGAATTTATTTATGATTGGATTCCACGCAGACGATAATTTTAAGCCATCCTCTCTGTTGAAATTGGGATGTTTTTTAATTTCAATCGCCTCCCTGATCATTCGTGGGTAATAGTGGCGATCAGTAGAGAGGACCTTAGGCGCATGTAGTTCAATCCAGTGATTTGTTCCAGCGTTCAGTAGATGATCGGCAATCGCTGATTTGTGTGGTTGTCGATTTTTAACCACTTTTTTTAACCTCTCGGCTATTGATCGTTTTGTTTGGCCAATATAAAAGCTACCACAACTACAGTCAATTTTATAGACTCCTGGAGCTTCGTAAGGTAGCTTATCCTTTGGTGAACGTAAATTGTTCGTTACTTTTGAGGGCGGATAATATACAGTTTTAATGGAGTATTTATTTAGTGCTGTTCCAATTTTGTCCGTTATTCCTCTTAAGTAAGGCATGTACGCTGGCTGTCTGTTCACTTCAGGTTTTTTAGCTTTTGTTACGCGCTTAGTTTGCCTTCTACTCATTATGTACCCGTTTCTCTTGAGTACTTCTTGAATGTGGGATAGTTCTTGTTCCACAAATTTAGGGGCACAGAGATCTTGCGCTCTGTTTGTGTGACTAGTGACGACTGATTGTAAATGTCGCGGGTGATGATGTGAGGAGGCATGTAGATATCTATCTGTGTGTGTTGGTTTCCGGTATACTGTATGTGTAACCGAGCCATCAGTTCTCATCATAACTAGGATGTCCAGGAAGGCCAAGGACCTGTCTTTCTCCATTTCCATTGTAAATTTGGTTTTAGCTTGTATGGTATTTAGGTGTTTTAAGTATTCATCTGCTTGTTGTTGTGTACCATTAAATATGCAGAAAACATAATCTACATATCTTTTCCACAGTCTAATTTCTAATGGTCTGAGAGCAAGAATCTTTGTCTCAATGTGTCCATCAACGCCATCTATTTGAAGGTAGTATTCACCTTGGTAAAGAACACGGCTAGTGCAATCTAGTCGAAACGTCGAGAGAGGTAAATATCTTTATTTTCCATAAAATTATTCATGTTAAGACCCGGTTAATCATTTAAATAATGTAAATTACTATAAATTAATATAAGAGAGATTGCTTTGAACGATAATGTTGCCTTTTGTTAGCATATTATGATATTACGTTCTTTTTTGTAAATAATTGTTTTTTTTTTTGCACAATAAAGATTATAATTATTACATTATCTTAAATTCTAGTTGGTGTGATAACATCTAATATGGTTTGAAAGGTAGTAGACTAGTTATTAAGCGTCGATGCTATGAAACTCTTGATTCACACTTACCCGTAATCTCAGTACCGTAACTAGCTTTTCAGACCAAAATTGTACATTCAAATCGTCTGAAAAAGTCTGTACAATATTGAAGTTATACATACATGTAAGAAAATTATACTACCTATACGACCTATAAATATTTTTTTCTTACTTAAAAACAATAACTCCTTTACGTTTAAGAAGTCGGTATCCAAATAATATAACTTTTAAATCTTTAAATAAAAGTAAAGAAACTACCAGAAACCTTAATAACTGGCAAATATTACCGCTAATAGACGCAAACAAGATAAGCATAATCAACGTAGAAAAAAACTTTAGCCTTTTATTCACGATTTATATCCTCAACAGCTAATTATGGAACATCTCAATTTTTCAAAATCTTAATCGCATATGCTAGTTCATAAATTCTTTTATTTGGTTACACAAATATAGTTTTAGGTGTCAGCTTCATGTGTATCATACATTTTAGCGGTACCGAAATGATGGTCGGATATATTTTAGTAATGGATATTGATGATTATCACATGACTGCTATTATAATAATGTAGAGCAAGCGGATTTACTGGTACAATGGGAGGTCATCTTATAAGGTGACGTAGAGAGGAACTAGTAGTTAAGTTCTTTTTAAGGTTGTATGTTGACTAAATACTATTTAATAAAGCACCTGAGATACTTTTTATGAACCGTTCTAAAGGACTAAGATGTTATGTTGTACCTCCTGTAACTAAAACATTTTTATTTCTCTATGACATGATGTATTTAATTTATTGTATTCAGATATATGTAAAGAATGACTGTCATATATGTCATAAATAATATATATTGACATTCTTTCTTGTTTTTTTTGATGTACAGTCAAAAATGATGTGTTAACAAAAAGTAGTTCTCTAAATTCAATAGTATGCACAGCTGATATGTATTTAATTTATTGTATTCACTATTATATTATGAATACAAAGTTAAAAAAGATTTTTGATGAATGTCATATTTTATGCACCCTCTCTCATCGAAATAATATATATCGACATCTGGTCTTTGTTTTTTCTGTCTTTTTTTTGATGTCATATATTCATATGCTGAAAGATGACGCGTTCAAAGCCATACCAAATGGAGAAGTTCATCTTTAAGGATGCCGAGCTCTGAGTTCATATTTCCAATAATATATCCGGGGCCATCGGCAGTGATCGACAGCCCCATACCTTGTATATCCTATGAATTCAGCGTCATATAGTCCAAAATGTCACAGACCCTAGTGTAATCTTAGCCCATGCTAGCCGTATTTGCCGTGATTTATGTTTTTACAAATCCATGGCCTTTCACCAACAACTCACGTTCCATTCGATATTTTGAACAAATGGTAGCAAGTTGGATGAAAAGTATTTAAGGTGATATATTTCCATCTATTCAGTGTTTTTATCTTCAGTCGATCAATAATATTATTTGTCCTAAACGGTCAAAAATGCCCAAAGAGTGGATTGCCAAAGTAATTCATCAATGCTTAGCCAAGAAAGGGCTATTTACTGCAGTTCAGGTTTATTAATTGTATCTTCATAATAACAGGCGAGATGGTAAAACCATTTTTGTGAGTGTACGTATTTTAATTTCATATGCAGTTCAAAATGTCGCAGAAGTGTAATGTTTATGTTACAAAGTAACGGATATTTTGAACAAATTAAATGTTTTTAAACTTCATTTAAAAATCACATTGCGACCCTCGTCAACCTCCCTGTGCGCTTTTACAAAGAGATTAAGTGACATCCATGAGTAATTTATATGTAATAAAGAGATGTAAAACCAAAGTATTGAAATTTTACTGCTTATAAATTGCTTCTGACATGGTCCAATAGAAAAGAATGTAACATTTTCTTATAAGAGTTGGCACCGCCTAACACCTTATGAAAAGGAAACCAAAAACAAATCTATGTAACAATCTGCACCTTTCATCCAAAAACAATTTTAATTCAAGTCGGGCGGACTTTATATGAAAACAAAACCTTAAAAAAAATCTATGTAAACAGTTGTTTACAACTATATCGTGCTTAGAATAGGTTAGACAGTTTTATAGTAAAATATTTTGTTCCAAGTAATTCGAGCCTGTATCAACGGTTATGTTCCATTTTCAAACAGGGCGATGATATCATATTTCATTACAGTATTTCAGTTCAAATCAAACATTTCAAATTATATAAATAAATGAAATGTATTCAAAGCGAACTGTCACGGTCTAACATTTGGTAAACTAATTTGCTGGCCGCTTGCTACACTAATCACGGGACGGGATAAAGGCGGTCATTGTCTAAGGGACAATGGACAAAGGTAAGGCCCCATTCAGCCACGTAGTGCCCACTTGTCGCATGACAAATGGTCGTGCGCCGTGTGTTTCTCACCGGACATGACCTATGAAGACAATCGCGCTAACGATGCAGATGGCAGTATATTGCAGATATTGCTTTACAAGTAATTGATAGTTAAACAATAGTACTGAGCCTATACTATTGAACTAGTAGTCTATTTTAGATAGAAACTAATTTACAGAAAATTTTATTTACCGTTGTATACACGAGTACCTATATGTCATGACCGATCAATTATTGCAAACAATGCTATCTATTCTACTAATCTATTATTATCAAAATTCAATACAAATAGTCGAACTGAACATTTCATAGAGTAATGATATTTCATATATTGTACAGTTTAAACGAATCTGAAACAAATAAAAAAGTAATCTGTCAACTTGCAAAAAACTAGCTACTACGAATCCTAGCTATGTAATACTATTTAATCTACATCCAAAACTAAGCAAAAGGTAAGTATTTGGCTGACCTTTAAGATCAATTTGTAATTTCCCTAATATGTATGTACAAAACTCGAAATATATCGACAAAAGTCGAAATGCTTATATTATTACATTATATTAAATGGGCAATACGTCCACAAAGTGTTTGTAGCTGTTGAACAATTTTAAGAGCGGTTGCACACCACAAGTCACATCACACTACTGCGTCAAGGTACTCGACAATTCAAGCGAGGCGAGCGTCAACCAGGACGTTTCCGTTTCCGTCGCGCGTCCGTTCCGACCGTTATTATTTTTATTACCCCTACATAACTTCTTATAACGTTATAACAACATAATAATAACGCCCAAAAAAGCGCCAGCCAGGTAAAGCCGATCCCGCACAAATTGCGCCATTCTTGCTTATGGTTATTTTGTAATTTAATTGACTTTTTGTTTTCTTATATACGTAAGTAAAGAGGATTAAGGTATAATATTTTACATTGTCGTACACGGTGTGAACTGTGTTTAAAGCACAGTTCTAGTTTGTAACCATCCAATTTGGGGATGATGATACCGTAACAGCTCATTCCATATAAACTACATAAGTATAAGCTTAATACGTGCTGCCAATATTCATAACAATGTTTACATTTTGATAATAATATTCTTATTTCTCAATTTCTGATGGTAAAAATTGTTATGTTCATCCTGATTGCAATGCTAGAAAGTGTTGTAGCAGGAAAGCAGCTATAACGCTTTGAATTATAATAATATATAAAACAACTATAACAAAACTAGTAGTTTGTTATATCAGAATAGTTTTAGTAAATATACTTTAGTTAATAAGAGTTTAGTTTAACTAAACTAACTTAATAAAATTTCAAGTTGGGTGTGCCGTATTTCGAATTACAAATAGGTGTTTAATTCTCTGAACGCTGCTATAGAAGAAGTTTATATAAAGATTACTTATCTGTGGCTTATTAAAATAATGGCACGAAGAAAATGTATATTGACGTCTGCATTCACTGAAAGTGAATATATTTCAATTCATACAAAAGGGCGCTCTTTCAACAATCAATCAAGTTGATTAAATTTATCTCATAAGATTTATTAACCAAATCATTAAAGGCAAGGGTACACAAAATTTTCATCGTACTGTATACATAATTCAGGTATAAAATTTGTGACTTTTTAATAATTTGTTCAGACTCGCTGTGTTCTTAAACGTAACTTTTAGGACGGCAAATTTTTAATTTAAGGAAGCGAAGCTCTAGAAGTTTTTTTTCAGAAAATTTCCCAACAAGTCACTGCAAGTTGCTAAGTTGAATATTAAATGTTCCGTTTCACTTGGGTGTTCGTTTAGATGAGATAGATACTATAGATATTTCAAGATTCATCAAGTACGGTATTAACTCTGGGGAATACAATCAATTATATATTTTAAAGGAAATCTTTTAAATATTGAATATGGTTTTGACAGTACATTAAATAAGTTTAAATATTATTAAGGTTCCTTTCAAAGTCAAAGACATCTATAATCACAAGAACTGGCCGTAACCCAGATAATAAACAAAAGAGTATATAAATGTGCATGTATGTCAAATATATGATAGTGTGTTTAACATAATTTTTACGTATAATTAAAAAAAATATTAGCAGTCTGCGCTCCTTCTTTATATATATATATATAT